GATTTCCAATTGGCAAAATTTGAACCAGTGCGACAATTTAATTTTTCATCGCATCAGAATATGCAGAAGAGCATGTAGATTCACATAAGAATAAAGAAAAAATTCGGAAAAAATTTCTTCATTGAGAGAAACGCCAAAGCTCTTATCCGAAAAAAAAAGTCATTTTTCGATGCCGTTTTTCTCAATGAAGGAATTTTTTCTTTATTTTTATGTGAATCTACTGCATATTTTTTGCTCTTCTGCATATTTTGATGCGATAAAAAATTAAATTGTCGCACTGGTTCAAATTTTGCCCAATTGGAAATCTTGGGAAACTGGGCGTCCCTTTGGACTGATTTGGGCACTTTGCACGCGCCACAGGGACCCAAGGACCCAGGGAAGCAGGGAACCAGAAACTCAGGGACGCAGAGACTCGGGAAACCAAGAAACCAGGGAACCAGGGACCCCGAAACCCAGGGAACTAAGGACCCAGGAACCAAAAAAAAAATCAGAATTTTCCTATTTCTATTTTCAGTGTCACTGGAACCAATCAGTCCGAAAACGTGCCCATTTCGTCGACAAATCTCTTCAAAAAGTCGAATCCTACGTTCGATTCCGTTGCTCCGACGAGCTGTTCTCCGTCAACATGGCAAAATCGTTCGGAGGCGAGGATGGCGAGGCTGAGAAGTACCGAAAGCTTCAGGACGGTGACGACGACGATGAAGGCGTCGGAAGGGCTCCAGAAGCCAAGAAGCCGCGGAGAAAAGGATTCGGAAAGTTTGCGCCGAAGCACGAGGAGAAGGTAGTCCGGGCGGTTGGCATCAATTCAGAAGTGCCACGTGGCATTCTGGAGAGAAATGTGGCGGTTGTGGACGCGCCGATATTGTGGAGCATTTGATAATTGATCTAATTATGCTGTTCTTATTGTTGAAAATTGAATTTTTGTTGATTTTTAATGGTTTTTTTTGTTTTCTATTAGAAAAAAATCCATAATTTTTGGCCTTTTTTGAATATATAATTTCCATATTTTTGGTGTTTTTTAACACATTTTGAATATCTTTTTCTCAATTTTTCCCCCTTTTTCCAACAAAATTTTCCAGAAGAAAAATGAACATGAACAGTCCGGCGAGCCGTTCAATGATGGGCGGAGAGACGCCGGCCCACGGAGGTCCATCCTCGGTACTCGGCGGGCCATCGTCGATTCTCACAGGACACGGACCGAATTCTGTAATGGGACCGAACTCGATTTTGGGACCAGGAAGCATGGTGAATCCACAGTCGATTCAGCCGATGCAATCACATCAGATGCATAGTGAGTGTGGAGAGAAAAATGGAGAAAATCGGATTTTTTTGGAATTGAAATTTCGTAAAAATCGGATTTTTCAGAAATTTAGAATTCCAAAAAGTTGGAATTTTCCGAAAATTTTGGTTTTAAAAAATCGGAAAAATTTGATTCTAGCGGCATTTGAATTTCAAAAAATTGGAATTTTCCGAAAAAAAATTGTTTTTCGGATTGAAAATTTTCAGAAAAATTCCCAAAATTTCGCAATTATTTGCAAAAAAATGTTGATATTTTCTTCAATTTTTTGCAAATTTTCAGACGATTCTTTCCCAATTTTCCCGAATTAAATTTCCTGAAAATCGCGATTTTTGAAATTCAAATTTTCGAAAATTTTTGATTTTTCAGTATACAATTTTCAGGAAATCTTGATAGACAGATTTTTTGGGCTGAAACTGGCTAGAAATCGCCAAAAAAGTCTGTAAAAATCCACATTTTCCAGGTCTGCAAGGCTCATCAATTTCAGAAGATTTCCCAAAGTTTCGCAATTTTTTCTTTGATTTTTTGCAAAATTTTTAGGCTTTTTTAAAGGTTTTTCAGCTATTTTCGAAGATTCTTTCTTGATTTTTCCGAATTTTTTTTCTGAAATTTGATGATTACTGTAGAAAACCGTTTTTCTGCAAACACAATCACGTCAAAATGCAGAAAAAGAACAGCAAAATAGAAGGCGTTCTACAGTAACCTACAGTAATCTTCGCGAGCACCGTCCTGTCAAATTCCAGATAAAATTCAGAAAAATCGAAAAAGAATGATCAAAAATAGCTGGAAAATTTAAAAAGGTCTAAAAATTTCGAAGGAAAAATCACAAAATTTTGATTTTTTGAGTATAAATTTTCAGAAAAACTAGGAATTTTTGCAAAATTTCAAAAAATTGAAAATTTCCTGAAAATCGCGATTTTTTGAAATTCAAATTTTCGAAAATTTTGATTTTTCCGTATACAGTTTTCAGGAAATTTTGATAGACAGATTTTTTGGGCTGAAATTGGCTAGAAATCGCCAAAAAAGTCTGAAAAAATCAACATTTTCCAGGTCTGCAATGCTCGTCAACTTTAGAAAAATTCCCAAAATTTCGCAATTTTTCTTCGATTTTTTGCAAAATTTCTAGACTTTTTTAAAGGTTTTTCAGCTATTTTCGAAGATTCTTTCTCGATTTTTCCGAATTTTTCGTCTGAAATTTGGATGGTGTTCGCGAAGATTACTGTAGAAAACCGTTTTTCTGCAAACACAATCATGTCAAAATGCAGACAAAAAACAGCAAAATAGAAGCCTTTCTACAGTAATCTACAGTAATTTTCGAGAGCACCGTCCTGTCAAATTTCAGGCAAAAAACCGGAAAAATCAGGAAATAATAATCAAAAATAGCTGGGAAACCTTAAAAGGTCTAAAAATTTTGCGAAAACAAATTTTCTGAAATTTCAAATTCGGAAAATCGCGATTTTCACCGAATTCAAAATTTGGGGAATTTCCTTTTTTAAAATTTGAAATTTCTGATTTTTTCAAAGTTCAAATCTCAGGAAATTTTGAATCTGAATATCCAGAAAATTTGGATTTTGTAGGATTCATAATTGCAGAGAATTTCGATTTTTTAGATTTCGAATTATCCAAAAATTATATATTTTTAGAATACAATTTTCAGTATGTTCCGATAGTCAGAAAGAAACTTTTTAGGCCGAAATTGGCTAGAAATCGCCAAAAAAACCTCTTAAAATCAACATTTTCAGGTCTGCAAGGCTCTTTGATGCAAATGCACTCTCATTTGGCCAATTCTGCCCTAAACATGAACATAAATCCAGCATCAGTGGGTCCCGGAAATCCAGGCTATGTTCTTCATCACAATATGGACATCAACCCTCCATCAGTAGTTTATCAGAATCTCGCAATTCCAATGACCCCATTGGCATACAATATCTTCGAAAGGGACACCGTAATGCATCCACCAGCAAGTAATATCGCCGCCACAATGGTTCCAGCCACGCCAGCATCTCAATTGGATAGGCCGATGCCAGCACTTCAGAATATTGTGTGTCACTGTGAATCTCGGGGTTCCGCTGGACCTGAAAAAGATTGCCTTGCATGCCAGAAACGCTGAATACAATCTGAAACGTTTCGCAGCGGTTATCATGAGAATCCGAGAGCCCCGAACCAGTGCTTTGATCTTTTCGAGTGGAAAAATGGTGTGCACAGGGGCGAAATCGGAGGAAGCCAGTCGTCTAGCGGCCAGAAAATATGCTAGAATTGTACAGAAGCTGGGATTCCAGGCGAAATTTACAGAGTTTATGGTTGGTCTTCAAATTTAAAGGGGGATCTGAAATTGGAGAAAAATTCAAAAAAAAAATGAAAAAATATTATGTTTGCGAATCCAAAAAACATAAAATTGTCAAAAATGCTGAAAAACTCTAAAAATCAGAAAATTTTTATAAATTGTAAAAATGCTGAAAAAATTCAGAACGTTGAAAAAATTCAAATTTTCCGTTTTCGCGGGAGAATTCAAATAATAGGTTGACACCTTTTTAGAAGTTTCTAGAAATCGAGGGCTTTTGAAGCAATTTTCGAGGTTTTTAGAGATTTTTTATTCATTTCTAACTCAAAAAATCGGTCTCAAGGTCCCAAAACGAAGGCTGCCGTAACCTTAATTGCCTAAAATCCGATTTTTGCAGGTCCAAAACATGGTTGGCTCCTGCGACGTACGTTTTCCGATTCAGCTGGAAGGACTCTGCATCACCCACGCTCAGTTCAGTACCTATGAGCCTGAACTGTTTCCGGGATTGATTTATCGAATGGTCAAGCCCAGAGTGGTTTTGCTGATCTTTGTGTCGGGAAAGGTGAGGGGAAAATGGCTGAAAATGATCTGAAAATTAGCTTAAATTTACTGAAAAAACTTGAAATAGCTGAAAATCACTGAAAATTGGCTTAAAATGACTCAGAATGACAGAAAATTGGCTAAAAATCACTGAAAATTACGAAAAGTTGGCTGAAAATTGGCTGGAAATAGCTTAAAATTAGTCTAAAATGGCAGGAAATCGGCTTGAAATGACTGAAAATGACTGAAAATGACTGAAAATCGAAGTGACTAAAACTCGGCTCAAAAATACTGGAAATTGAAAATGGCTCGAAATCGGCTCCAAATGACAGGAAATTGGCTAAAAATGGATGAAAGTAGCTGAAAATTGGCTTGAAATGACTGAAAATGGGCTACAAATCACTGAAAATAGGCCTAATATGACTGAAAACTGACTGAAATTACTAAAAATTGGCTCGAAATTGATGAAAATGGCTTGAAGTGACTGAAAATAGGCTTAATATGACTGAAAATAGGCTTAATATGACTGAAAATTGACTGAAATTACTGAAAATTGATTTTAAAGCCTCCAAAATCGGCCAAAATTAGTCCAAATTCGGCTTAAAATAGTAGAAATAGGGCCACAATGGCTGAAAAAAAAGTTTTGCCTAAATTGACTGAAAATCGGCTTGAAATGACTGAAAATTTGCTGAAAAACACTTAAAATTGGTCATTTTTATAAACGATTTTCGAGATTTTTCAAAGTTATTTTGAAATTTGGAAACGGAATTTCAGCAATGTTTTCTAACCAATTTTTTATTTTCGACAGAAATTTGGAATTTTTGAGTCAAAATTTTCAGAATTTTTCAATCAAAAAATATTTTTTTTTTTGGCAATTTCTGAAATTCGATTTTTTCAAAAATTCAAATTTCCCTTTTTTCTTCCAGGTAGTGATCACTGGGGCCAAGACGAAGAAGGACATTGACGACGCGTTCGGACAAATCTATCCGATTCTCAAGGGATTCAAAAAATAATTTTTCTCCTGTTTCTTGTTTTTTTTTTCAATTTTTAAAAATTTTCCCATTTTTGGAAAAAAAATTGATTTTCATTTTTTTTTGTTCATCCCCCAGGCACCCCGGATCTCTATTAATAATTCGGGTATGCTTTGCTTTTTCGCTTCGAATTTTGTAAAATTAGATTTTTTCGAATTTTTGAATTGAAAAAATGGATTTTTTTCGAAATTTTGGATTTAAAAAAATCGGAATTTAAAAATTTTGAATTCTGAAAAATCGGTATTTTCTGAATATCTTGATCCCAAAAAATCTAATTTTTTCCAAAATTTCAAATTCCTAGAAATTGGAATTTTCCAAAGTTTCGGAATCTAGAAAATCGCAATTTTTCAAAATTTTGAGTTTTGTAAAATTCGGAATTTTTGGAAAATTCAAATTTTGAAAAAAAACCGAGTTTAGCCAACTCGGTTTTTTTCGAATTTTCGAATTGAAAAAAATAAAATTTTTAATTTTTTTGAAATTTTAAATTTTGAAAAAATCAGTTTTTTTCGAATTTTTTTAAAATCGGAATTTTCTGAAAATTTGAGTCCCGAACAGATCGATTTTTGAAAAATTGGGTTTTGCGAAATTCGGATCTTTTCGATATTTCGAATTTTCAGAAAATATGAATTTTCAAAATTTCCCAGAAAAATGTAATAATTTTTTGGCAGAAAAATGTTTTTATATAGAAAAACTCCTAGTGCCTTCCAGAAAAAAAAAATATCATAGAAATTTGTGTAAATTTTTCTCTTCCCTGTTATTTTTCTACCTCCTCTTTCTCTCGCCCCTCTCATTTTTCACACACTCTCTTCCTCTTTTTTGGAATTGTCACCATTTTTTCCCCTCCTTTCTAATGAAACAAATATTTCTTTTTTTTGTTATCATTTTTGCTGTTTTGACCTAAAAATCCGTTTTTAAAACGGCCTATTTTTATATTTTATTTGATTCTTTACTCAAAAATTCTAAAAAATTGAAGTTTCAAAAAAAATTTTTTTGGAAAAATTTTAAAAAAAAACGTTTTCAGATGACCGATTTGATAGCGACAATCGCTGGTCTAGCGGAGGAGAAAGAGGTGGAAGAGGTAGAAAAAATCGAAAAATTTCAATTTTTAGGGATTCACAATTTTAGAAATTTGAAATCTAGAAAATTCCGATTTTTTGATTCCAAAATTTCGGAAAATTGCAATTTTTAGATATTTGAATTTTAGAAAATTTAGATTTTTAAGGTTCCAAAATTCCGGAAAATTCCGATTTTTAATAATATATATATATTTATTTGCAATGCATGGGGGAAATCGATAGATAATTTGGCAAGAAATGGGACCTGTACAAATAAAAAAAGTAAAATGACCAGACGGACCGACTAGAGTCCTGTAGGTCAAGTGGGAGGGATCAGAATATCATAAAG